ACCGACCACCGACAGTCAAAAACAAAATTCGTAGTACGAATTATTGTAAATCAACAAACGTTGTTATAATTATTAAGGTTTTCTATTTTTATCTGCCAATTGCTCCGACACTGCGATAAGATAATATCATGGCAATTCCAGATCAGCGCGCAGCCGGTCAACATTGAAACCCGTGTATTATACATAGATAAATATAAAATAATAATATATTGTGTACAACATTAGATAGGATAATAGATACCCACTTCTCAAATTGTTCTTATATACAGTATATACACTATAGTGTTGTTTTGAAATGTGATATTCATCTTTCGGATTTATTATTGATTGCCAACCAATAAAAAACGAATTTTCCATCAAAAAAAAATGCCACCCCAGTTTCATTGAAAATGTTTCCGCCCTTRGGCAATGGCCTAACCTGCTTATGCTCTAGCGACGGGCCTGCCTACTCATCAATATTATTCATTATAATATAATAATATGTCCGTTTTCGTCTCCAAATTGCTGAAAGCCTCCATGAAGCACTTGGCCCAGATCAAGACAACATTGAAAAAATAATGAAGTTCTTAAAATTAACTAATTTATATAACTCTACATAATTATGCACTAGAATGTAATAGGTACACGTATTTTCTCTTTATTTTAAGCCAATAATCTTTGTTGTTGCGGCTAATTACAAATAAAATAAAATAAAATATGTGAAACATATTACCAATTTAAGTTATATTATTATTTTTGCGTTCAATATTTTATGTTTATACATAGTGTATAACTATAACTATAATGGCTTTTCATAATCATGATTATTAAATTGAGATTTCTCTAATTATTAGAAAAAAAATCATGTTTTGACTAAATTAAAATGTTTCTTAAATCGTTAAATGTAAAGATATGCACTTGTGTGAACAATAACTATGTACCTATGTTTTAAATTTTACTTTTTTAACTAATATAAATAATAGATAATAGTAAATTCTAATTAAATTATTATTAGATGAAACTGATAACCATAAATATTTCATAATGTACCCGTGTATACTAAGAAGACTCTCACCCCGTGTACACGTCTTTGCCATTTGTTCATCTTTWAAAAAAATTAATTTTACTTTTTTATAAATATTATTATTTTAGTATCGTATTCAGAAGTTAACACTATCGATGTTTGGGGTTAACACTATCATTTGTAGATGTAAGCTGCACTATGACGTCTATGTAGGAGATTACCTATATTTGCAGAAGTTTACCATACACAGTTTTGTCTAATATCTACACATATCCTTTGCAGTGGTTTATCCACACCCCATCGACTAAGATATAATGGGCTAGAAAGGGGACATGGAACAGGGATAGCTCGGATAGGGAACCAAATGTTTTCAGCAATATCACTTGTGTTATGACCACTGATAAGCTGCATGATCGTTTCCACATTTCCAGTTTAGTCCGTAGATTTACCTGTTGAGAAATAAAATGATTGTATTGACATTTGGTGTTGAAAGGAGTAATGCTATTTATGTTTTGAGTATAATACTATTTTCTGTGGCGTGGTGGACGGTTGAAATGTAATATCAGGATAATTATTACAATCTATACTTAYCTATAATAAAACACTTGGCTGTGGCTAGTTATTGGTTATAATAACTCTGTTAACAAAAATAATTTAATAATACAATACAATACCACATTACTGCAATACAATTATGAATTAATACAATTAGTGTACAAATACTAATATAAGCATTAAGCATCAAAGTAGGGTTTATGATGCAGCTATGAATCTAGATGACATAAGTAAGGTGCTAACAAATAATGACTAATTACAACTTACTGTTTATGTAAAATCAAAATAATTATTATTTTATTCTATTTAATATGGTTTTAGTTCAAAGTAGATATTGTAATACTAAGTAAAATATGCGTACAGATGGCGAGTTACCCGAAATGAAACGAAACCAAATTATCATATTATATGGATATGGATCAGTATAAGAACTAAGGATGGACGAGTTATTCAATTATATCTTACAATGTAGAAGAAAATACAATTCTGAAATCGGTTAAAATTTGAAATTTGAAAGCAACTTATATTTTCAAAATTACAGCATGCTGAAAAATTTGTATAATTATATATTATGTATTCCACACACTTATATAATTACCTAATGCTAATCCAATACGATATAAAGAGAAATAGATAGATACTCATTGAAAATTGAAATTCAAAGCAAGATTTCATTTATCTCTTATTGGAATGGCAGTTTGTAAATTTTGTTGTAAATTGCAATTTACTAAAGTAGAGTGCCTATAAAAACAATGTATAATGATTTTGAAAACCCGAAAAGGAGGCTTATTATTTTATTACATGTATTGATGTATTTATTACTGTGGAGAAAATCTAAAAGAAATGATGCCGCTACTTTAAACTGTAGGTACTTACAAGTTACATTGATCAAGATATTGAAGATGATATTAAAAAATGCCTATTGACGGTAAATAAATCATGTATAAATCACTTTGTACGTATCAACACTGCAAAAAGTTTTTAAATTTCTGCGTGTGCATGTATAATTGGTATACTATTTGCATAGGTAAKTATACGAATATATTATTTATTAACATGTGGAGAGAGTGGTCATTGTATAGGCAGTTTATTAGTCAGTTGACTTTTAAACATTTTTTTTAGGTGTATCAGATTATAGGTATCTCTGATGCAAAATATAGATATTTGAGGAAAAATTAAAATTATAGGTTCTATAAATTATTAATCGTTGGATTAGAAAAAAATTGTCAGTTATAAATTAGAATCAGATCTTATGACTTATAACGTATATTTGCTATAATTTTAACTAAAATTTATGTTTATTTAATGTACCTAAGTTTGTATTAGGTAATTATTATTCAACGACTGAGGTGCGGCGAAATGACGGTGGCGATTGTGGTTTGTATTAAACCATCTAGAGCAGGGTTTCCTAAATAGTGTGCCGTGATATTTGAAAGATATGCGGTATGCCGCGACAACTTGAACTTTTTTAACAAAAAAAAAATAAAAAATAAAATGATTATATTGACATTCAGATAATATTTATTCAAAGTGTGCCGTGACTAATTATAACTAATAATAATGTGCCGCGATGGACAAAAAAGGTTTGGAGACCACTGATATAGAGTATTTTAAGCATTGAGCTCTCAAAAGTAAAACGTGTCTACGAAAATGAGTAGCACTTTGTTCGTGGAATAGAATTTAAAAGTCTAAAAAGTAAATTCAATCCCCAAAGAATAAGAAAAATCAATCTTACTTGAAACATCGACTATTAAAAAAAAATCACGATGTATTAATTATCGTGTGTGCAACGTGACGACGACGATATAAACTGAAAATATAATTTATTAAAAACAAAATCCTATGGTACGGAACGCAATATGTTTGTTATTCATCTATATAGGTACAGGTTTCTTTTTCACACATGTCTATAAAGTATGATAATACGGAGATAACGGGATTATATTTGGCCTTGTTAAGTATTGGGTCGAATGCCTACTGAAAATTAGACAAAAAACGTCCTGTTCAAAGGTTGTCGGGACAGGGGACATGATGCTCATTGCTCAAATAAGAGACAATCCGTTTTAAACGGAACATATTACCGACTATATACCCTACACACGAAATACATTGCAATATATTAATTGGTTTAATATTTAACACCATAATTTGAAAACAGAATCGTTTTAGATCATCATTAATAAGAATCACTAAACAAATAAGCATAGCAATTATAATTCTTATCTACAATTAGTAACACTCTTCAGTCCGCATATTCCATAAACCAAATACAAAATAAATATTAAATATAAAAGATACAAATGTTACATCATCAGCGAATAGGTCACAGCAGTTCATTGGCCACGAGAAAATCGTAACAATGGCCTGTAACCTTTATCAAACTCTTAAAAGGCTACAGAGATTTGTTTCTATGTCTGTCATTACAGATTTTCACARTTCATAACATATTCAATAGTACGAGTAAAATACCATTTTTTCTTTCGTGTTTTATTTTCATCAATCGAGTATTCTCATATTTCGGCTGTAAAGGCCTTATCACAATTTCACATCATCAGTCATAGTTTAAGTTGAGCCGTATAACAACTCAACCAACTCACGGAATCTAAATATCAACATTTGTGAGTAAAACATATGTATGTTACTGTTATGTTATTTTCTACATATATACCTATAATTAATAATCTTCTTAAAACATAACCATCCAACTCTTACTCTTACTCTTATTCTTCTTATTGGTGATTCATACTGACATGCACTTTTCTATAAAAAAAAAATAATTACATTGTTGATTACATCTATTAAAAAATATAGGTACATTCAATAATTATATTCAAAATCCGACGTAATGTATAGGTACGATATACCACATAACTATGTGTCATGATCATAAATAAATATAACTCACCGATATAAACAGAATCATTCAACACAACATAATTTATGTAATGCAGGTAGCAATGTACCTATAGTATCCTCACATAGCATATTATAGAGATACAACTAATGGGTGTATAATATATATGATTTATAGCAAGGTATTCATAAAATCTATTAGATATCCACTTGATATCCAATTGGCTACTTTTTTATTATTTTATTTAATTTTTTATTTAATATATTAAAATGTATACCAGCATATTATATGGTATTACAAGTTTACGATTGTTTAATTTTACATAATATAATAATGTTGTGTTGGTTGATTATATAATAGGTATAGATATTTTTAAGTAATACAATGTGAAAAGGAATAGAGATAATATATTATGTTTATTAATTAATTTTAATGTGGATAAGGTTATGGAATAGTGCTATTAGCTGTAAGTGCATTTAAGACTGATGAAAGAAGGGAGATAAGGGGACTTTATTTTATTTGATATCCACTTGTTTATCCATCAGATACCAGAGACAGGGGCATATTTTTTTTTATTTTTTTTTTATTTAATAAGAAAATATACAACTATACAATTAAGCACAACAAGTAATAGTGATGATGAGGATTACATAACATGAAATGGCACGATGTAGGAGGGCTCCCAATGGAGCTACCTACTTGGGTATTTTATTAATTAATGGAGGAGGTCTCTAACCCATTTACGTTTAAGTCTTCGAGGGGGATTGTCAGGGATGTGTAGTGAA